ACGAGTCAGCAATAATGAAAATAAAAAAACACGCAGGGGGGTGAAAATAGCATGGGATTCACGTTCAAATTGATTGGGCTTGGAATTGGGGGGTGGAGATATCACTCAGCACTCAGGCCCGCCCGTTTCAATTAATGAAACGGTGCGTTTAGGGCACCTAACTAATTCCCTCCAAAATCAGAATCAAATAAGAGCCACACGATTGGCTTCTGAGTCAAAGTCTAACCAGCAGTGAACGCCCAGGATTTCGTCTCCTACCTCCATCCAACTAGGGTTTCTGAAACCCTCACACGCATGCCATGAACGTCCAAGTTCCTCCTCTCTGTTCTCTCTCTACAATCCACCAACACTCACGATGCGAACATCAAACCTGCTCCAATTTTCAGGCTCTATCCAGCTATGGTAATAGTTTGCTTGGAAACTCAACAAATCACTCAACCCGATCACATGAAGCTCTTGCCACCATGAACATACACTGAGATGCATCACAACAATTCTCAACCAAACCTATGCTAATCTGATCTATGACTAATGGTGATTATTTTGATCTATCAAACTAAGATTATAATGGCCTAACCTAAGAGTTCTAGGTCCTAACAGTTTGGTACACCTGCTAACAATCATCACTAAACTACTCCAAACTCATCCTAATTGCTCTACTAACATCCTACATCATATCTAAACTAATAAAACTATGCTAAACTAACTGAATCAAGCTGTGGCAGAGAAAATGCACCTGGTGTGAAAACTTGTGGATGATGATGAAATTCGTGGATCTGAAGCTTTTGAGGCTTGGATCTTGATCTACAATTGCACTACTTGATTCTGTATGCAACACTTTGAGGAGTCTTGCACTGGATCTTGAGTTTCAACTGAATTTGCAATTTTGATGCTGATGATTATAGTGCTCGAAAATGGATTGATCACACCTTGTTCTTGGTTGAATTCTGATCTATGATGATGAATCAGTATGATGAAATTGATTTTGATGGTGATTGATGAAGAATTTGAGGAATTGAAGTGAAAATGCAATGAGAAAGAATGAGAGAATTTGGGAAATTCTTGGTGCAAAATGAATCCAACCCTTGATCAATCTTCATTTCATGTTTATATAGGGCTCAAATGAACTTTCTAGATCCATCTTACCATTTCCCTTGCCTTCCAACTTTGATCCATTTTTGAAATGTTTCTTCAAATGCAAGTAACCATGAATAACTTTTCTTTTTCCTTCTAAACTCAAAAAAGTGTTTGAACCATTGTCTCTAGAATGTCTTTTCCATTCAAAATCATATATTGGAAGTCTCCATTTGGACTTATAAATCTCCCAAACCATTTTTCACTTTGACTTTATTCAAGTTATAAGCCATTTTAGTTCAAATTTAACCAATCATGCAACTTCATGTTATGAGCTTTTCCAACAATTTGTGACCTTCTTTCTAGACTCAAAATGTCATTTGGAGCAAGTTTGATGTTGTAAGTTTTTCCATTTGAGGCCTCCTTGTATGAGTTTTGGACATAGGTTAAAATGACCTGTAATTCACAAATGCCCAAAATACCCTTTGCTTGCCAAGCCCATAAGTTGAGTTCCACACATCATATGAAGGCATGCTATACCATTATAGAAAGCTAAGACAATGAGGAACAATTCTTATGTTGACCAAGAATTCATTTGAAATCTCCTTGAGGGGTAAAACTAGCTTGGAAGTCAAGTCACTTTCACAGACAAAATTTCAGATACCTCAGATGACCTGTAACTTGCAAGGACCATAACTTGAGTTCTATAAATCTCCTTGATGTCTTCCACCACTCAAATTAAAGGTCTTGAGATCCTCTACAAGTTTCATGTTGGCCAAGAAGCCATTTGAAGCTAGCATTTTGACTTATCTTGCTTGGAAATTTGACCTAAACTAGGGGATTTTACACAGAAACCCTAATTTAGAAACTCCTCTTCTCCTTGATTTCTCTTGAATTCTTCTTGGCATATCTCCATATCCTTCTTTATATATCCAATGATGAACCCCACATCTCTCCACTAGACTTGAATGCCCCTTAAATCAGTCAATTGACCTAGGGTGGACCCAGGGTTGACCCAGATGAAACCCTAGTTGACTGTCTTCAGCTATAGCTCTTGTGCTCTCATCAATGACTTGTCTCCTTCTTTAAATGACTTTCTAAGTCTCTCATAATGTCTAGATACTCTCCATGCCTTCAACTCACAGCTCACAACCCTCTTGTTGACCCTCAGATGCCCTCAGCTAGGAGATGGACTCAAGGCTTGATCTGCTGAACTCTTTGCTTTCAAATTCTTTCCTGATGACTTGAATGAGATTGAATTGGGATAATAACCTCTTGATAGGCCTCTAGAGATGAGAATAATGATTGGTCCCCTGTTGAATGACTTGCTATGCTTATGCTATGCAGATGGTTAGTCTATGTACATGACTCTATATGCAAATGCTAATGACATTGAAACATAAACCAAGTGAATAAGGTTGGGCAAATTTTAGGGTGCAACAATGGGTGTATCACGTATATGATTATGGTGCAGTAATCAGTAGGATCGTGTATTCCCAGAGTGTTGGGATGTGTTTATACTTGGTGTTAGAATGTGAGATTGCTCACTGTGTGAATTGATTTATATGGTGTTGGTGTATGTTATATCTGTACATATATGCATTGATGTATGATGATATGATCAGGAGGATCGTGTGCACGTTGAGTGCCTAAATATATTAGTTATGCATTGGTGTGTGCATATCATGGTGTTTTGGTGGGATGAATCATGTCTCAGGAGGAGCGTAAGTGATTCATCCGTACTCCTTTGTGGAGAATGGTGGGGGATAGATCATGTCTCAGGAGGAGCGTAAGTGATCTATCCAGGTTCGATTGAATGAACCAACGAGTCGGTACCGCATGCATGGTGTTGAGTTGCATTTTGCATTATAATATGTTATATTGTAATTTGAACAGTAGGTTCGTCATATGGTGTTGTTAGGGGTGAATCTTGGTGTGTTGGTGTGTTGTACTACCTTATTTACATGTATTACATTACCATTATATTTTTGATCATGTTTTCTCACCCCTTTGTTGTTGTTGTGGTCTGTGCTTCTTCGGAAGTACAGATAATCCAGGTGCTTAGCTAGCTTGGATATTGGTGTGATTGTCGAGTCTAGGATGCTCCGATACGTAGCACGGGACTTGGGCGTTTTTATTTGTTTTATGTTGAACTTATATTTTATTTCCCTGTGAACGTATCAAACCTTTATTGGATGTTATTATTTAATATTCCGCTGTATTGGAGAAAACCTTTTTATAAGGAAACGTTGTTTTCATGTGATATCCCAATTGGGAAATTGGAACTCTGATTTTGTTTATTTATAATGTTTATTAATTTAATTGATTTTGGGAAGTGGGGTGTTACATCGTTCCTAGTGGAATAATCACTGGGGTAGAATAACTGAGATGTTATTCCTGGTGGGGTATAAACGATGTACCCATAGTCCCAAATAGGGATTGGTGAGAATTGATGAGTTTTATATGAGTCACATGGCATAGATATCATTGTTATATGAAAGTATGCTTGTGTATGAATTGTTGAATTGAGGATTATGGATGTGTGCATGATGAAGCATGTTTGTTTATACATATATTGTGATGTATATGATGATGATAATGAATTGTGGTGAGAAATGCGGAATATGTGTATTCTATGCTTGTATATATATGTATATAATTATATGCATTGATTATTATGATAATGTTTCTCACCCTTCTGCTGTTTTATAATGCTCTATGAGGCATTGCAGATTAGCTTTGATGGAAGTCTTTTGTGAAGTATAGCTTCATTCTTTTGGTCGGTTAAGCTCTGATATGTAGCACCGAGTAGTTAGGATTGTATAGCATTCTTTTGGGATACATTTGTATATGTATCTGATGACAAATGTTTATGTAAACATGAATGATATGGTGAATCAAACTGAATGATATGTATTTATAGATTAACATGTTTAAAGTGATTCAATGTTTAGATTTTCCGCTTTTAATTCTAAATATTGAAATGTGGGTGTAGGGACTAAGTTCCTCTGTTGAAACTACCCCACTGTTGCATGTCTTTTATCAAGCAGGTGTTGTATGTTAATTTCGTGATGATGTCACATACCTCTTTTATACCATGTTTTATTTTTACTCTGATGAAATTTTAATACGTGTTAAATGATTTATTTGTTTATTTGGGGGTATAGAAAGGGGTTGTTACAGCCTCGCTCCTGGTGCTCTAGCCTTTGACTCAGACCTTCTGTGATCGAAGCTTCAAGGTCCATGGTTGGCCTTTTCCCACTTCTGCTTCGCCTTTCGCACCCCTTCAAGTTTCTGGGCAGCCTTTTGATCGAAGATTGTGTTGTATTTGGGGCACAACATGACACCAGACCCTTTCTTTTGGTAGCGATGAATGAATTCAACAATGGTTTCTTCCTATCTTGGATATGCCATTTTATTGCGCTCTTCCTGGAAACTTTCCTCATCGACTTCCATGGTCTTATGTTATGTTATTTCGACCATATTTACATCCATGTCAACATCATCACTCAGGTCCAGACCATAGAAGTCCAACTCAAGGCCTTAAGCAGCCCTGTCCATCTTAATAAAACCATCTGCAGCTTCTTTGGTTACCAACATCAGGTTGCAATGGATCAAAAATTATGGTTTAACTTCTTAATTTTTATTATGAAAGATTATGGTTTCATCCCTATGTTTAAAGTTCAATAATGATAAGAGATTAAAGTAAGTGCACACTAATTTTACTATCATCCAATAGAATTATAATATTTTGTCATATTATATGAGTCTTTTAAAATTAAACATGTGACTTGTAGGATACACCTCGTTAATTGGTTGATAGTCGATATTCTTTTTTCTCTAATGATAAATAATTTTTCATTTTAACAGATGTTAAGAGACTTATTGGTAGGAAGTTTAGTGATCCTATAGTCCAGAAAGATATAATGTTATGGCCATTCAAGGTCATTGCGGGTGTGGATGACAAACCAATGATTTCCCTCAAGTACAAGGGACATGAGAAGCACTTTTGTGCCGAGGAAATCTCTTCTATGGTACTCACAAAGATGCGGGAGATTGCAGAGACATTTTTGGAATCACCGGTTAAGAATTCTGTCATTACTGTGCCTGCTTACTTCAACGATTCTCAGAGAAAAGCCACCATAGATGCAGGTCTCATTGCTGGCCTTAATGTTATGAAAATAATCAATGAACCAATTGCTGCGGCTATAGCATATGGCCTTGAAAAGAGAACTAATTGTGTGGGAGAGAGAAATATTTTTGTTTTTGACCTTGGTGGTGGGACTTTTGATGTGTCTCTCCTTACAATTAACGATAAGGTCTTCCAAGTTAAGGCCACTGGTGGAAACACTCACCTTGGAGGAGAGGACTTGGATAATAGAATGGTGAACTATTTTGTAGATGAGATCAAGAGGAAGAAAAAGTTAGACATTGTTGGTAACCCAAAAGCCTTGAGGAGGTTGAGAGCTGCGTGTGAGAAAGCAAAAAGGATGCTTTCTTTTACCGTTGTGACCAATGTTGAGGTAGATGCTTTATTTCAGGGTGTTGATTTTTCTTCATCAATCACTCGTGCAAAGTTTGAGGAAATCAATATCGACCTTTTTGACGAGTGCATGGAGATTGTTGAGAGATGTCTTATTGATGCTAAGATGGACAAGAGCAGTGTTGATGATGTTGTCCTTGTTGGTGGCTCTTCTAGGATTCCCAAAGTCCAGCAACTATTGCAGGACTTCTTCGAAGGGAAGGAATTATGCAAGAGCATCAACCCTGATGAGGCTGTTGCTTATGGTGCTGCTGTTCAGGCTGCTTTGTTGAATGGAAGCACCAAGAATGTTCCAAACTTGGTTCTGATCGATGCCGCACCTCTGTCACTAGGTTGGAAGGTAATACAGGGTGCTATGAGTGTAGTGATTCCTAGGAACACGTCAATTCCTGTCAAGAAGACAAAACGATATAATACCGTTGAAGATAACCAAACAGTGGTCCCAATTATGGTCTATGAGGGTGAGAGACCAAGAGCCCTTGATAATCATTTTCTTGGTTCGTTCATTCTTTCCGGTTTACTCCCTGCTGCTCGCGGCCACTCTTATAATGTAACCTTTGATGTCGATCAAAACGGTGTCTTAACTGTTTCTGCTCTTGACAAATCCAGTGGCAGTAAGAATGAAATTACAATAACCAAAGACAAAGGAAAGTTGTCGACTGAAGAAATTAATAGACTGATTCAAGAAGCCGAGGCTTTCTGTATCCATGATAAGAAGTTCTTAAGAATGGCGGAAGTAATGAATGCACTGGACCACTGTGTTTACAAAATGAGAAATGTGTTGAAAAAGAATGATATTAGTTTAAAGCTTTCTTCAGAAGAAAACAAGAAGATCAACACTGCAATTGCAATGGCCACAAATTTGCTTGATGAGAATGACCAACAAAATGAAATTGATGTTCTTGAGGATCACTTGAATGAGCTTGAGAGTATGTATGAGCTCATTATCAGCAAGTCCGGCTAAATTTTAATGTTTTCATATAGTAATTTAAGTGTTGTCTTGTCTTAGCTTTATTTTTGTTAGCAAATGCAGACCTTTATGAAATTATGATGATTAGTTAATCTTTGTGGTTTGATATAAGATCATTACTGTATTTCACTTTGTTAAGGTTTGATAAGGTTAATACTGTAATTCTTCAAATATGTTTAAGCATTTTAAAGGAATGAGTAAATTTATCTATATGCTTCGCACATTGAGTGGAGTAATTAATCTTCATATCTACTATAAATATAAGAAAATAACATGCTAGCAAATTTACCACTTAATTTCAAAGCATAGGAACTGTAAATTCATTGATAACAAAATCATCAATCCAATTATTTTCTACTCTCATATTTATTCTTCCATCATTTTTGTTTTTCATCCTTCAATTTCTCTTTAGAAGAAACATACTCACTCTTTTTCTATGGTTTCCGATTTTCAAATCAAGAGGTATATACTTTGTTTTATACTTTTAAATTGATGTGTTTCAGTCTTAATTCTAACAATCTTTGTGTTTAAGTTTCATATTCCACCAAATCGGGTTCAAATCTACTTACGAAAGATAAGAGCTCAATGTCAAAATTCTCAATTTGTTTGCTTCAAATATATAATTTTTCCATTTTTCCATTCTTCAATTTATATATTAAAGAAGCATATTCTGCTTTTTCTTATTTCCGATTTACAAATCAAAAGGTATATTTGGTGGGGCCACCATTACTAGTACAGTTTCAAGTGCAGATGTGATTGGAGGTTCCGGCGGCAGTAGGTGTGTTTTGGGCTGTGGAAGTAGGAATTTTTTACATTTGTGCCCTAGTATTTGAACATATACCCCAAAATGCCACTTTTATACAAATATATACTGAAATGCCATACTTTCAAAAACGAAAATTTTTTTGGTTGAAGGCAACCGCCCATTCATTGGGCGGAAATGTGTGAATTTAAAGGCAACAGCCCATTGGAAGGGCGGCAGTGACTACACTTAATTTTTTTGGCTGAAAATATATTTTTAAATATTAATATATATAATTATTAATATATATTATTATAAAAATAGAATAATAATATAAATTTTAATATATGTTAATATTAATAATATTAATATATATTAATATTTATATTAGTAATAATATAAGTATTAATATATATTATTATAAATATATCTTAATATATGTTTTTAAATATTAATATGTATTATTATTAATATATATTATTATTAAAATAGATTAATAATACTAATTTTAATATATATTAATATTACTAATAATATTTTAAAATTATATTTATAATACTAATAATACTAATTTTAATATTAATATATATTTATAATACTAATAATATATATTTATATTAATATTATTAATATATTTTAAAATTAATATTAATAATATTTATAATATTAATATATATTAATATTAATAATATTAGTATTTATTAGTATATGTATTATGTGACACTATTATTAATATTAATTTATATTTATATATTGAAGACATAATTTATATTGATTGAAATTATTAACTAATATTAATTAATACATGATGATTAATAAAAGGACTAACGACTACTTGTTCCCACATTGGGACACCGGGTGCGATTGTGTCCCGTTTGACGACACATGGAACATTTTCTCTCAAGCTTATCAAAGTTATCCATTTCTGTTGTAATACGTGTGCTTACAGGGCGACCTTTCTTGTTCCTTCGCATTCTTGGGTTATGGCAAATTTGATCTCCTTCATAAACAGGCCAATATTCATCGCATGGCATCACTGGAAAACTTGCGCTGTAAACCCCAAATAGGTTTGTAACCCTATAAACGTCGGACAAAAGAGTGTAAGCGTCGTTGGTATAGATCTGTGACCAATTTGTATCTATCACAAAATAGATACTTGTGGGACCCTCGAAACCAACCAACTTCATCAAACTTCCAAAACACCCCCTCCATGACTTATGACACCCAACCACCAATATTTAACACCCCACAACAAATATTTAACACCCCACAACAAATATTTAACACCCCATTCAACCCAAACCCAACACAACCACCTTATACCCCAAGCCAGCACTACAATCAACCTTACACATCATTTAACCCAAACCCCTTCAACATCCAACAACAAAACCCAACCTCATCATACACCCAATATAACCAATTCTCATTCTCTCAACCTACCCAACAAGAACATAACTACCAAACACCCCAACCACAAGTTCCTTTTTACCCTTCACAAAACTTCACCCTTTCTCAAGACCAACATCCATACACACCCTACATGACTAACGCGGCGCCACCTATAAACCCACCAACTTGGAGTAACGAGGGTACGAGATTAAGTTATGGAAGTGCGGCAGCAATACCAGCTGACGACGATTTCAATGATGATTTGGTCGCTCAATTCATGAACCCTAACAATGATGCAGGACCATCTACGCAGACCCAAAACGCTGAGGTTGATCGTAGAAGGTCCACCAAAAATGTACAAGCTCCTGCCTGTGGAACCCACCAACGCTTACGTCGACCGGGTCGAAATTAGTTAAGGGTCAATAGGAATTGTAATGTACATATTAAATTTCAAAAATTAATAAATATTTATTTTAGTTCTTTTATTGTTATTTATTTTATAAATATTATTATATATTTCTAATTCAGTTATAATTATTACTAATTAATTTAAATTAATTAAAACTAAATACATTATTTCCACATCAATTATTATTATTACTAATTAAATTGAAAATAATTAAAACTAAGTATTTTAAAATACATTATTTCTAATTCAATTATTATTGTTAATAATTATTATAGTATAATAATAATAATAATTATTGTTATTATTATTAATAATAATAATAATAATAATAATTATTATTATTATTATTATTATTAATTATTATTATTATACTAAATAATAAAAAAAACATAAAACGAAAAAGAAAAAAAAAACCAGTGCCCTCAACCGCCCATTGAAAGGGCGGGTGTCTTTAAAAAACAACATGACCGCCCATTGAAAGGGCGGCAGTGCCTTACGTTTGTTCGAAATCATGGCATTTTGGTATATAGTTTGAAAAGTGTGGCATTATGGAATTTTCTTTTTAAAAAAGTGGCATGTTGGAAAAAATTTCTGGAAGTAGCTGTGTGCACAGAATAAGAATGATGAGACATATTCCAACGCGGTAGAGATGTAATAGTTCAGTGCACCTCCTGTGGAGTTGGATGGCTGTCATCATACTTAGTTAGAAAGTTAGAAAATAGAATAGTTTGAACGTATTTAATAATGGCATCTTTCCAATGCATATATTCCTTCCCTCTATCTTACTGAACATTGAAAAAGTATGACATTTATTTGGATTTCAAATCATTGTTTACCTTTACATTAATCCATTTTTGAAGACCCTCACCCATTGATTTGGATTTTTAGTTCAAAAGGTAAAGTTTTTTTTTTTTTTTATTCTTTCGATTCGTGTTCAATTTCATTTTTCTTACTTTTCGATTCTTGAATGTAAATCATAAATTTGCAAATATTTATATGCTACTGTAATTCATTTCAGTTTTTACAAATTGTCATCTAATCAAATCAGATTTTCAGTTTAAAAGGAAATTTTGTTGTTGTTGTTATTCTTTTTAGAGTTAAATATGTCAAGGGTCCTTATAAATATGTCAACATTCAATTTTAATTCATTTAAAATTTTTGTTCAAATAATAATTCTCGCAAACTTTTCCGCCTTTAAAATTGGTACCTCCCATTAGTTTCCACTAACAGAAGCTTACGTAGTATGTCAAATGCGTTTTTGTTTTTCTGACATGAATGATTTTTATTAAATTAATTATTTTTGTTTTATATTAGTTAAATTGTGTGGGTTATAAATCTCATTTGGTGACTTAGAATGTAAGAAAATTACATTAGATTCAAAATCCATGTTTTCAAGTTCATCATGCTTTCAAATGCCTTGAAAATCACCAAAAGTCATGGAATTTAAGGTCATGACGGATTTAAGGTCTTAGAAAACAAGTTTCATGTGGCAAGAATTTTGATTTGAGGTCTTGAAGTTCATGAATTTGGTCCTTTAAGTGAATGACCAAAAATGAGGTTTCCAAAAATGACCTTGACTTGGGATGATCATAACTAGAGCTTCACACATGGGAATGTTGAGTTCTAACACTTTTTTGGTAAGCTTAGACAATAAGGAACAACTTTCATGTTTGTTGAAAAATGGGGAAGAGCTTGATTCCATGTGAAAAATGCCTTAGAAGTGAGTTAACCTTGAGTGCCTCTAAATTCTCTTCATCTTGTGACACCAACTTGTAGACATCATAACTTGAGATGTATGAATCCAATGGAAGAGTTCTTGTACTCAAAAGAAAGCTTGGAAGATGAGGAACAAGTCTCATGTTTGATGGAAAATGAGATAAGACTTGTATCATAGTGAAAATTATCCTTGAAGTTAGACACCAAAAGAGGGGATTTTACACTTAGAATCATCTAAAACCCTAATTTAGCAACTTCTTGAACTCTTGAATCTCCTTGACCTAGTTTCAACATGACATTTGAGATGACTTAGGATGACTTCTCATGGCTTCAATGATTAGGAATCAAGCCTTGAGCTCTCTCAAATCCACAATTGACTTTTTGTTGACCAGATGAAACTTTAACACCTCATCCACTAATTGAGATTCTTGCCAATGATTTGTGTAATCATGTAACCCCCATAGAGGACCCTCAGGGTGTACCTTGAGCTCTTGAACCGTGTCTCCTCCAAGAAAATATTCACATGTGCCTCTACTCACCCTCAAAATAGGAGGAGATAAACAAACACCTACTTTCCCTCCTCAAGAAGCTTTGAGACCAACTCTGATGATAATGAATCCTTGGTGACTTGAAAATGTATCCTTCTTGAACTTTGAACATTAAGATTCTCTCTCTTGAGTAGTAAATAAAACATCTTGATCCCTTGTATGGAACCAATGCTATGCACAAATGCTA